CAGGGTACAGCTTCTCCGATTGTACCTTTTAGAATTCAGACCTCAGAAAAGATCTCTGACAAAGTGGCCATAGTGCTATCCTTGTATGTACAAGGCCTACGTTAAGTACAGAACAGAGAAGATAGAACACATCACCATAACTCACAGAGAGGAACATTTGAGCCCATGGAAAATCCAAAACCATAAAAAAAATTAAAAAAATAAAAAAACACCATAGTATTGGAGACTTTTCAGACACTATAAGGTTCCAAGGAGTCCTGTGGTAGAGCACACATGCGGACATGAATATAAAAATAAAATATAAACTGCTAAGATTATCTCCACTTAGGAGCTACTGCTTAGCAGTTTATGCAGTTTATAGATCATTAGAACTCCACACAGAGTCTTCGTCCATACCAGAGTATGAACCTCTTTCATTTTTATAGTAAACTAATATCAAGCTAAATGCAATACATTTACCCCATTTAAGAGTTCCCCAAATTAAAGGATACCTTGATAATTTTATACTTGCTCGCATGTACGCCATTGTAAGTGCAACAAACAACATACACCCACAAACGTTAAATGGAAATTTAGCCATTTTGAAGTGTCTATGTTACTATGTATATTATACACGCATAACAAGATCCAAAGGAGGGTGAAAAAGGAATTAACTTGGAAAACTCAAGTAGTACGTGGCATTTTTAATTAGTAATCCTTACTCATGTACAAGAGAATGCTAAGTAAACAGAAATGCACAAGAGAATACTGCTACAGCCCAAACACAGAGTCGACAACTCACCACATTGAGCAACACGAATTAAGCACTGCCGAACTATCGGGTATTGGTCCAGTCCCCACCTTTCACTACAGAACTTAAAAACATCCCATAGTGCCAGACAAGACATCAATCCAACAAGAGCCAGTGGCATTCGATATCTGTAATCAAATAAAAAATACACAAAAATATCAGATAGGATGAGGGGAAAAACGCTGACAGTTATTAAACCACAACCTGCCAAAGAGGAAAAGCTAAAATGTACAGACAAAGGAAAGAGTAACTACATTACTTATTTTATATGACAGGACCCCCAACAGGATCATACTCATCATACAGGACACAATTAAGCCTATCTCGCCCACGCCCTTTTACCCTCTAGCATAAAGATGAATTATGAAAAGGAGGCACAGCTGTAGCTTTAATTTTCATCTCCCCTTCACTAGCAAAGTGAAGTTTGAGTGAGATTACATTCGGTCCACCAAAAGACCAATGGGGAGGATGTTCATATGGGAGTAAATGCATTGCTTGGCAAGACCTACTTAACAGTCTAAACCACTCAAATCATTCCAAGTGGTATGAGTTTCTTGAATTTTTATAAACCACAACCCCAACCTTTCAACATAGCCAAGACCAAAACTACATAGTAAAGTTACTTACGCCAAGGAAAAACAACTCACAATTGAAATTTGACCATTAGATCATTACGGGTCTAGACAACAAAGAAGCTTGCAATTCAATTTCTCAGCAGATTTAGAATCGCAAGTATCGCCTATTGGAAGGCAAAGTGCAATATAAGACAAAAATTGTCAGCATTTTCAACTTTCTTCCATTTGCTGAAGTTTTTGGAACAAATTAAATAGAGAGCCAGTTTTCAAACTTCCAACTAGAACCTAAAAAGAAAAAGGCATTGATATGAAACCAATCAATTCCTAAAACTTTCACACAGTATATACAAAAACCAGTTCTCAAAACACTCCCTTACCATTTACAATCTTTAAAACAAAGAGGGTAGTGATCTAGAGCTCAATTATTCTCCAAAGTCTTGCTTTTTTTACCATCCAATTCCCAGAAATTCCACAACAACCTTGAATACAAATATAACCCAATCCTCTAAACTCACCCAAGAATCAAAATACATACATATACATACAGAGAGAGAGAGAGAGAGAGAGAGAGAGCATACAACGAGCAAGCAAAGAAGAGCACGAACAAAGTAGCATAATTTCTAGCATAGCGCTTGACATTCTCCTGCACCCTCATGCGAGCCTGAGAAACAGAGAGAGGGAAAGAGTAGGATTCAGAGGACCCAAAAAAGGAGGTGGTCCAGGGCGGCGTCTGGGAGGCAAGGTCATCGTTGGTGAGCTTGGAGAAGGGGTTAATGGTGAAGAGAGAGAAAAGGGTGAAAATGCGAGAGAAGAGTGAGATGAAGAAGCCGTTTGTGATCGAGGCTGCGTCAGCGGTGGCTGCGGAGGAGGTGGTGATGGCTGTGGAGGTGTGCTGGTCGATGATTTCTGGGTAGCCATTGTCGCGGAGCCATGACTCGAAGAAAGGGTCGGGGACGCTGAGAGATAAAGGGTTGGAGGTGAATACCATGGTAATTCCCTCCCGAGTCCTACCTGCAACTTTTTGGTTTGGCTTTGGATTTTGGGATTTTGTGATGATGATGTTATCTTGGTTTGTTTCGTTGACAAGATAAAAGTTTTTCCTTGAATTATATTGGTCGTACAAAGAGTGTGAAATATGAATAAAATCATAAATTTATCAAAATAAAAATTTGACGCCATTATTCCTTCTCATTTGTAAGTAGAGGTTTTAAGTTCGAATATCGTGAATAACGAATTCGATGCCATATTAAGTTGCACATTGTGTGACTTAGCCGAACTCTCCACTTCCCTTAATATAAAACATATCATTATAATAAAATAAATACTAAATTTGCAACAATAATTTTTCTCATTTTTTTTTTTATAAAAAACCCACTTACCATATATTTGTGATATTATTTGTGTTATTTTTGTTATAGAGGCAGAATCCATCAATATATGTGAATCTTATATCTATTAGAAAGATGGTACAAATGTATGGTAAGAGTAACATTTTTGTTGAGAAAAATTATAAATGTGAGACCCATCACTTAAAATGAGAACGTAAACGGATCCCAAATTTACATGTTTATTGTTGAAGTAGAATATACATTTACATTTTTTGAAAAAGTAAATATAGTTTTTACAACTCAAATTTGCATATTTTCCAATTAAAATGCTCTCAATATTAGGAGATATTTCGAGTAAGAATAGCTAAGTGTGTTTCTATTATTCAAAAGATTCAGAGTTGGGTGTCCACATTGCAATGTTTTAGGTATCTTTACTTATTTAGGTCTCGTAAGATATTGTTTTTTTTTTCAGCGAAAACTGCTTCACTTTAAAATTAAGCAATAAAAAAATATGTCCCCAGGGAGACACCGACACTGTGGCTATAGGTTGGTTTGCTTTTACAAAAGACAACGTTGAGCTTTTAATGAATATTTTCAATTCTATTATATTTATTCAACATGCATTATATCCCCTAGGGAAGATCCAGTGAGGCGCGGGATGGTGAGGTACAGAGCTCCGGCGCCGATGGTCCCGACAATGGTCCTGCACGACGGTCCCGCACGTTGCCTAACCTTCCTTCAAACAGCCATGGTGGATGTAGAAAATCCATGGGGCATAGTCGATGGAGTTGATGGAGAACTATAGGTATGTCATTTAATCCTTCATTTCATTCTGCCCTGTACGTACCAAACGCGAAACAAAATAATTGTTCCATTATGTCCTGTGCGTGCCAAACATAGCATGGAACCCCATTCCATTCTGACATGACCACCACCATCTACCACTACAAACACCAACTTTACACTACCACTTCCATTGTTACCTCCATCACCACCACCATGACAACCACAACTGCCACCACTATTATTGGCGCCACCATCACCATAACTACAACCACCACCACTGTTGTTGCTGCTGCCCTACTACCATTGTTACCTCTGAACCCCAACACCACAACCCACTATTGGCCCCACCACCATACCCCACCATTGCTGCTTTGAAAACATCGTACACCGATATTCACAGTTCTTAGAAGACATTGATTACCGAGATGGATGATTGGGCCTGTGTTCATGGAACAAAGAAACACTTTATTTCTGGAAACCGAGATAACTTTCTACCATTTCAATCCGTTGACGGGAGTACCATTTGACAAACCAGTGGGAGAGTATTGTGTATTGGCGGGGCTATTCTCTGAGAAGCTAATGATGTGTGAACATTTTTACATCATGCGAACCGGCATTAAAAATTCCAAGCCAGCACACGAACATTCAGTGATGCAGGCCACCTGCTTATGATTTCTCTGTCCTCCTGTAGTCCTGTACGACTGACTCAAACAATTGTGAAAGCCCTTGGGGAAAAAGTAGCAATCATCCATGACAACTTGTATGCAGCTTCTTCGGGGTTTTGGGGCAGCTTCTTTCCTTGTAGAGACTTTTTATCACCTGAGAAAGTAGGTTAGATGTTCTTGTGATTTAATCGGGCCTCCTGGCCGAGCAACAATGGACAGCATAGAGAGATACCTCCTTTCCAAACACGGTAGCAACAACGTTCGTAACCAAGTTCAGTTGGTTCAACAATCTGACTGCGTAAATAATTTTGATAAAGATTTACAACTTGAGGGACAGTACCCTAGATAGATTTTTGTTGATGCATAAAATCAGTGAGGACTTTGATAAAACAGAAAGTGTTAAGTTTGTGACCTTCACTAGATTGCTTCGGTCACTAGCGTGGATAAGTATGTAAATGGATAGGGACAGGGAAGCAAACACAAGATGTACGTGGTTCACCCAGATTAGCTACGCTCACGGAGTAAAGGAGTTCTCATTAATTGTGAAGGGTTTACACAGGTACATAGGTTCAAGCTCTCATTTAGTGAGTACTAGTGAATGATTTAGTACAAATGACATTAGGAAATATTGTGAGAGAATGATCTATATTTATAGAATAGAGTTTCTAGTTTCATTCGGACATTGACACGTGTCGTGTTGTGATTGGTTTCTGATGTTGACACGTGTCGAACTATGATTGGGTTCTAATGTTGACACGTGTTGCTTTGTGATTGGCCTCCTGGTTGGAGGGAAACTCTTCTGGGTCCTTGATAGTATAACGTTAACCAATGCTCAGTAATTTCGGGATTGGTCAAGTATAGTTCAAACAATTCTTAACACATCTTTCATTTTTATTCATTTCATATTTGTGAGTAGCTTACAAAAACAAGAAAAAGAAACCAAAAGATTGCATTGAAACTTGAAAATACAAGTATATCAATGTCATTCAGCCAGCAAGTATATGTCAGATGATATGAATACCTAAAACGACTGCTAAACCGCGAATTTCAAAATTGTTCGGGGAGGAAAATGGCTGCTTTAAATTGTGCGCACCAGAACGATGGGTGAGATATCACCGCTTGAGTTGCCTCCTCGCCAGAGCAGGAGCTTTCTTAGGGATGTAAACCTTATAACTCACCTGCCAAAAGTATTAAAACATCATTAAAGCTAGTAGTAGAAAATAGACTATCAAACTCTTGTATGGTCTAAAAAGAGATTACTAAACTGAAACTAATGCAAAAAAACGTATGCCCTTCATAGGGACATCAAAACACCCACCTGTACCATTTCACTACCTCGCATCACCGACATTGTTTTCTGCTCAAACTGTGAGCCAACTGTAGCTTCATCTTGCTGTTTATCAGAACTATTTTCTCCTGAAGGTTCAGGAGCAGTAGAACCATGACCATCATCGGTATCTTCACCTTTGCTATTGCTTCTTCGAGGAACAGTTTGGGCAGTCCCAGAAGCACCCTTATCTACACAACTCTCACTCACCAACAATCTTTCCTCAGAAGGTTCCTGTAAAGCAGGTTCTTGTTTCAGCGTGGGGTGAGCTTTTAGCGAATGACTCCTCAATGTTGGTGAAGTCGCGTTTGGTTTATTAAGGGCAGCAGTGGTCTTAACCTTTATACCGACAACCACTTGGTCTATTGGACAAGCAACATCTTGCTTGGCAGAGATAAATTCATTGCCATCTGGTTCCTTTTCAAGGTTTTGGGAAGAAAGCATGGAAACTCTCTCTTGAGGCCCATTGGCCTCTTCTACTGATTGGATTGCATCAACCCTTTCAGCAACATCCTCCTCGGATGACTTTGCTACAACCACTCTAGCACCACTCGTCCCGGGGGATTCTGTTTGAACCAATTCAACCTTTGCAGTGGACTGCTGTTTCAAATCAATAGCGGTCTTGTCTTCCCGATGGGTAGTTACCACTGAAATTCTTTGATGCTTTCCTTTGAATCTTTTTAGATTTTCCAAAGCCTTTTGTCTTAAAATTGATTCCAGATCCTCACCTGGCAGACTACTGATTGTCCCAGAAACCTCATTCTTATTTTCATTAATAGGACCAGTAGTCCCAATTCCATCACCTTGGCCCGCGCAATCTTTCTCCAAAATGTTACGAATATCTTTGAGATCCATGATTGGAACATTAGAAACATAAGCTACTTCCTCTTTCCCACTCTCTACTTCCGTTCTCTTTTCAAATGCAACATCTAAACGATTATTCAACTCCCTCCTGCATCCTCCGTCATTACTGTCATTACTTCTACAAGAAGGGTAATCGTCATCGTATGTAATCTCTTCTTTGTGCCCATCTGTATCCATCCATCTGCCATGCTTGTCTTCTTCCGTTACTGTAACTACAGATCTCAACCTCCTTGTATTGTTCTCGTTTGTCACTTTTTCCTCACTCTGACAATCACCACTCTCGCTACACTGACTTTGTGAAGAACAGCTCCATGACCTATATCTAGCCCTCTTAGTCTCACTATCAACCATGTTAATATCACTTCCATCTCTGTATCGTTTTTCCGGTCTGTCCCTATGCCTCTTAGATTCAATGTCATCGCCACTAATTCCCCCACTAGGACAAGTTGAGCAGCTAAACGACGCACTACTCCTGGAACTAACACTAGCATTCCTCCTAGGCTTCTTCTTCCTCAAATGAGTTTTCTTATCATTCTTCTTCTTTGCCGATTTCCTCTTCTTTCCACGGTCAGAGTCCTTGCTGCTGTCACGGCTATAAGAGCGTCTCCGAGCCCTCTTCTTGCTCCCTTTTGCAACCTTCCGAGTGCGCGATCGAGCCCTTCTACTTCTCGAATCATCCTCTGAACCAAAAGACGAAAACGATTCCAAACTTCTTGAATCATCCTCACCAGAATACGAAGAAGAATCGTCACGACGGCGAAGCTTCTTGTATCTATATTTCCTACTTTTACTCTTACTCCTACTCTTCTTCCTTGTTCGAGCCTAAAACCGCCACACACGTGAACACAAACATTAACTTTAGCATTTAGCATAAAACATTGGCAATCATGAATCAAATTACAAAACCTTAATCTCAGAGATGATCATATTTGTACAACGTTATAATCAAAACATCATATTTCTTAGCAAACTACTTATAATGCTGTCTAAAGTTATCGATTTTTTTTGGATTCCAAAACCTAAATCAGAAAAACAAAACCAAAAAAAAAAGTGATCTTTTCAGCACGGAAGGAAACCCCATGTAGTTAAACAAAAAAAACGAGGAACCTAAAACACGACAACAACTGAGAAGAGAGGGAGAGAGAGAAAGACAACAACCTTGGAGCGTTTCTTGGTATGAGAAGAAGAGGACTTGCCCATCTGGGTTTATACCTGCAACAATCGAAACTGTTAAAAGCAAAATTAAGATTGCAAAGAAAGCAAAGGAAAGGGTTGAATCTTCAAAAGTTGGATCGGAGGATTCGAGATTTGAGGAGATAAATATATGTGTCTCTCTTTCTCTTGAGGATTGTGTGTTACGCTTTGGTTCTTCTGGCCTTCTTTCTACCTCTCCCGTTTGGCCAACGCTGCTCTTTATAAATAAGGTTTGCTTTTTCTTTTTTTTTTTTTTTTTTAACACTTCATGGTTGAGTCGTGGCTTTCAATTTTTATAGGTATCGAAACACAAGTTATACGGTGTAGCACGAGTATACTGATACATAAAACAAGTTATATGTGTATTATCTGATAACTTTCCTCAAATAATATTTTGCCCAATGTGGCCCTATTTTAAATTATTATTTAAAATTTTTATTTTTATTTCTTCAATCATGTTAAAAACGTGAATTTTATATTTATATTAAATGTGTAAAATAACATTTATTAAATGTGAAAAGTACGTACATGTATACACATAGATGTATGTTGAAGTTTTAAAAATGTGTTGTTTAACAAATCATTAAGATTACTTTCAGTAACACAGAAATCTCTAAAAAAAAGGGTTATCTTTCTCTAAAAGGTCTCCCTGTTTGGTTCTCTAAAATTCTTTTTATGTGAAAAACAAACCTAGGAAACTTTCGCCATTGGCCCTAGCCTTTGGCTTGGGTGCCGAAGGCATCCACCCCTCCTTCCTTCCTTGGTTGCTTCATTTCTTCCTTTCTTCTTTTCCTCTCTCTTCTTTGTTTCGCGTGAGTTTTTCCTCAGTTTCTCTCTCCTTTGCCCTCCTCACTCATCTCTTATGCTCTTACCCCCTCCCTGCATCCCCTCATCTTCCTTCCCATTTTTCAGTTTTCACCCTTCCCTTTTAATTCTCGATTCTCCCCTGAGTTTAATCTCAGTTTTCCTTGAGCCGAGTCTCAATTATCTTGCTCTTCATGCCTACGTCTTTTAATTTTCCTTCCTCCCTGTTCCTCAGTCGTGATATTCCATCCCCACCCCACCAGGTACTCGGATCAACGAGCTCCGTTCAGAAATTGGATATAAGATCCATTTCTCTCCCTCACTTCCCCTCCCTCAACCGGCATGCTAAATCCCTATCGATGCTAGGTGTTGTGTAGCCTTCGCCATAGTAAGTGTATTTTACATACCCCTTAACCTCACTTTCTACCTCTAAGATACTTTGTTTATATATATTTGCAGGGATTCGTGATGGGGACTTGGTTCTAGTGTCTATTTTCTCAGTTTGAGTTTGGCTTCCTCCGAGGATGTGGCGCCGAATCTGGTTTATGCCACTTGAATTAGGGTTTTTTGTTGTTTGTTTTTTCAACCTTCGGCCCTAAGCTTATGTGGACCTCTCGTTGTATCTTGGGTTGTGACTCTCATTTTGCTTGGGTCCTTTATTTTATTTGTGATTATTTACCTAACTCTTTTTTGGCTTTGTTGTTTTTTACCTGACTCTTTTTTAGTACATCCTCTAATTTCGTATCCACGTCCATATTATGTTTCACCAATAGAAAATGAGCATGTTTATCAACGCTTAAATAATAACTCAATCATCAACTTTCATATCATTTAGTTTACAAAATTTTGTCTACAAATTTTGTCTACCTAGCATTACTCAAAACTAAAATACATAGTTTGGTAACTACATTTAGTTTTTCCAAAAGTAAAAATTGAAAACCAAAACAAAAAAACTGAAAACGAAATTGTTATTAAATAATTCTTAAGTTGCACATTAGAACGAGTGGTAAATTGTCTGTCCTAACGGGATCTAGCGGCTCGTGTTCTTCTGTATAACTTAACCGTACACTTTTAATGTACATTAGAGAAAAACTCATAGTTTCAACAATTCCTCAAACCCGAAAAAGGGAAGGACATACTCAACAAGCCCAACAAGGAGGGCCCATAAAGCGGCCCAAATATCTACAAAAGGCTGACAAGCCCAAGTAACAAATCAATTCCGTCAAACACATGAATCAATATGCTTGAACAACATGCACCCAAACACTTCACATCTGCGTTTGTCTTGTTTACCAAGTCATTTATTCAAGTAAAGTTACAATGTATTACAAACGGTGCAGCAGCTGCTCTGTCTTGCCTCGCGTCCGGTACAACTATTCCGGCAACGACATTTAGTTCCTATGCATCGTCTGCGTCACTACCACTCATGCTAGGACGAGTATCAACAAAGTACTCTGCGGAAAAATCTACTTCGTCTACGATCCTTCCTCTGTACTATGAAGGTAAAAGTAAGAATGACAGCTGAGCACATTATGCATTGACCGAAAAATTAAGGGAAGGTTATACCTTTCAAGGACGAACTTTCCCTCTTTATACTTCTGGCTGTTCTCGTGTGCAGATTCCTGGACGTGGGATAAAAGAATGTTTTGAGGGGCATGAAGTTGAAAAACTATGCAGTATACGACTCTGGTAGAGTGTGTGCACCGGAGAGAGAGATTACATATTTCCAGCCAACAATTTGGCCACAAGAGCAGCAAAATATATCTGCAACAGTATGCAAACCCGAGAGCATCATCCTCTCCTCTAATGTTCCAGTAGTGGTATTCACCCTGGTTCACAAAATCCAATGCATAAATCAGTATCTACTGGATTGCTGTCTGACATAAGTTACTTATAAGAACAATTGAAATGTCATTAAGTCATGGCTGGAATATGAGATATCGTTTTGATCTCACTCCACAGCTCTCTCCTAAAATATAAGCAGCCAAAACTTATTAAACTCTACTAATTAAGTCCTCAAGTTGAAAGCATACAGTTACCCATATGGTCAAAGGAGAAATTACTTGCACTATATCAAAAGTCGACTGAATAAGATAAAAAGCATCAATTTCTGAAGTGGTAAAACTGAGCAGCAACTGGAAGTCAGTTTCTAACGGTTACAAAAAGTTTCAGTTTCTCCTATTTCCCAACTGGTTTTCTTTAGGGTGTTCATTCCCTTAATTATTTTTCAATTGATCTTGGCTTGTTCCTTCTATTCATAACAGGAAATACATTCTACAGGGTGCCAAGAGTACTACGGGTTGGGATGGCAGGTTGGTTCGATGTTAAGAGTAGAAGTCGGACATCTTTAAATTCCTACCCACAAGGAGATCACTGTCCTAGACCACGAATTGTGAAGCCACCCTTTAAAGATAAGTCAGAACCTTTCTCATCAATCCAAGGAGTGAAAAAAACTTGATGAAGACAACATATGACTATCATGGTTTGCCGAAACTTGAAATATAGCACTATTTGTCTAGCGTATTCGAGCACTTTCCTGGACAGCAAGTGCCTAAACCCAAAAAGAACAAGGAAACAAAACAATCTTGAATAAAAGGCACTACATACACCAATTCTTTTATTATTAGTAGACATCAATCTTCTTCAATGTAAAGAAAACTAAGATTGGAAAAACCAGACTTCACTAAACAATCAGCAACTCAGCACCAGCAATTCCCTCCACTAATAAAATTGACTCCTAGATCCTAGTCATAGAGATTTCTATTGAAGAGGTAGGTCCACAGAAAATTTGTCCAACTAAAAGCCACTCCAATATCTAAAAACTAATCTTCTTTATCCATGTTTCCACCTACTGGTCCTGGATTGACGGCCCCAACTTTACCAGCAATGATTCTGCATACATGTTACAAGTAAAGCCCACTGCAGCACTGCCCATCCACCAGAGCCATCAACTCAACACAACCCATATTCCAGTCATCCCTGAGCAGCTATCCTACTATCATTAGCATTCTCGGTTAATATACATCAAACTGGAACCCCCAAAGAAGCACGACTACGAATGTTCAACATCTAGTTAAACTCGAGTAAATCTTTCTCAGCAAAAGAAAGTCTTTTAGCAGGGCAGATTAGCATTACAGGAAATGCATGATCTTAGCTAAATCCACAGGAAAAGTTAACTCTTTCCTTTCCTGGGAGATCTACATCAAATTGAAGAAACTTCTCCATGTAAACAAACGTTACTCAATAGCACGTTCTTGTTCGCCTAAACCAAAGATCACGTAATAGGTAGCTTCACTGCATCTTGCCAAGGTGAAAGCCACACTCTTATAGTTACGAGATCTTTGTACATTTCTGCGGGGCCATGCTTCGAATCATTTTGAATAACCTAATTCGGGAATTTTAATGGTGTCCGATAGGACTATGAAGAACCCAAGAGGAACTGAATACTTCTTTCCATATAACAATGTCAGAACGGCTATTTACATGCAATGCAGTGACAAGATGCACTAGTTGATAAATACAGAATCCATAAACTGAACAAACTGAAAGCTTGAAAAATATAAAACATATATCTGAATCAGATCAGATATCCATGAAAGATGAAGAACTCACGCATTATTGAAGAGGTATGCTTTTCCTCGGCGGCAATGAAAAGCCTAAACAATCACAAGGGAAAAATGAGACCTGAAAGAATGTAAAAACCCAACAGAGAAGTTTAAATACATATGCTGGTGATCACAAACAAATAAGACCTAGCAACTCGAAAATCGTGACCAACATACCAGATTGCACAGTCCTTAGAGTGGTAAATCTTTGTACTCCTACAACAAAAAACATCGAAAACCCGAAAATTCTTCTAATTCTTTCTTACTTTGCCCATATTTGTAAATCAAGGACGATAAATTCACAACATAAGCATTAGAAAACTAACCAATAAGCATTTACTAAAAAATTTACCAAAAAGCACTGAAACTGAAATTAGACGATTCAATCCCACTTTCTATGCATTTACTTAAGGCCCAAATCAGATAACTCAATTTTGTGCGACAAACTACAATTACTGAAGAACAAAGAGAGAAACTTTTACAGTGGTTGATGATCGGTACTTGTTGTTGTGAGTGAAAGATGCAATCTTTTGAGCAGAAATTGAGAGGAAGAGTGAGAAAAACGTTACCCGAGAGACACAGTCGGAGAAGAGGGCCAAGTGAGTTTTGCAGAACTTGCATTTGTAGCACCTTCCCTCCAGCTCTACCACAAATATCCTTCCCATCTTCCTTTTCCTCAGCTTCTCTCTCTTGCTAGCTGCTAGTGATTCACTACTCCCAATACATATATGTATATCTCAAGGATTCGGGACCAATATATGTATCTGTTAGCGTTTTTTTATATATGAGAGAGAAAAGAGGATGGGC